TTGAGTAATTAAATTGGATTGAAGTATTGAAGCAATCGGGTTGATTGTAAATAATTGGTAACGATTGTTATTAATTATTTATTGTTAATTGTTGCTGATTTATTTTGATTGTTTGATTATTTGATTAATAATTTATTGTTTATTTTACGTACTATAGTTATTAGTATTTTCATTAAATTTCGTTAGAGAATTAATTATGACAAACGATATGATCAATTATTCAATGAAATTAGTAATATGTCACATAACTGTAAGGATACAATATCTGAATATGAAGTGTGCACAAGATTTGCACATGTAGTAAAAACCACGTTTAAAGAAATAGCGACGCAACGAGAACAAATGTATGAATCTATTGGTAGATACGTAGGATCTGATAATAAAATGTCCACGGTTGATAGGAATAGACGGGGGCTCATAAACATTATAGGTAGTGCTATGAAAACATTATTTGGAGTATGCGACGATGATTGTACCAAAGAAACTAATAATAATATTGAAAAAATTGAAACCAGCAATGAAAATATGTTACATATCTTAAAGAGTCAAACCACTGTAGTCAAATCGGTAGTACAAGGAATAGGAACACATCCACTGAAATGAATACATTATATGAGGAACTAGTAACCAAACAGGGCGAAATCTATAAGAAACTAAAAACAGCAGAAAATCATACATACACTATCGAAACAATGATGCTCAGTGACAGAATACACAACATTTTCACTGCATTAATCACACAATTTTCATACGAAACCACGACTATAAGTGCCATAATAACAGCCGCCAGAACAGGAATATTACACCCAAGTCTAGTAACCCCTAGGGAACTGGCTAAACAGCTAACTCAAATCAAATTAAATTTACCTGTTAATCTAAATTTGCCTATGGGGTCAAAACCAAATGAAATTTATGAATTAAGTAAAATAACTAAAATGGCCGTGTACTATAGTAGGAACCAAATTGTTTTTCTAATAAAAATTCCACTAGTAATCGAATTAGAATTAACCTTGTTCAAAATAATACCTATTCCACATAAATTTGATTCACATCATAGTGTAATATTAAAACCCGAATTCCAGTATGTAGGAATAACCAGAAATAGGAAACAGTTCACAACATTCACTGAAACTCAATTGTTGAGCTGTACAGAAACTGAGATTTTTATCATATGTCCAGAGTTTCAACCCGTACAACATGAATCGGTTAGACAACCGTGTGAAGTCTCGTTATTCAAAAATCCGGATGAGTTACCTAGTAACTGTGAGGCAGGAATTATAGTAATTACTAAAAATATTTATCATAAATTGAAATATGCCAACACATGGATTTACACTACTACTAGTGACACATTGACCATAACTTGTCAAGGCGAACAAGAACCTTACATAGTGAAGTTACAAAATCAAGGGCTAATTAATCTAAAACAGGAATGTAGAGCTTATGCCAATGATATAGTCTTAAATCCCACTAGAGAGGTCAAGTCAAAATATTATATAAATTTCATTCCCAAATTAGGTATAGGAAGTTTGACATTAAAAATCCCACAACTCGACACAATAACAATACCAAAGTACACACAAAAACATGATTTATTAAAATTAGATAATGTACATGAGTTAGCTCATTCATTGAGTGACATCCAGTCAATGATAGACCAAGAAATAGATAGGCAGAGTGGAAATGCAGAAGATACTAAATATTATATGACGTACGTTTTATTAGGATTGATTCTATTTTTGTTAATTATACTAGTAATACTATATGTAATATACCGTTACACTGATGTTTTGAAAAGAACCAATACTAGGAGGACAATATCGATAGGTGAACCAATTAATAGGAGTAAATTTTATACGCAACAAATGTATGAAACAATGAATAGGGATAACCCACAATCATACGAATTACAAAAACCTATAATACAAAGTAAGATAAATGAAGATAAAAACGTAAGTAAGGAAAATATTATGCAAGGTAATGAAGTAACAAGTACAAGTAAAGTAAATACAGGTGTTAAGTTGCCATCAATAATAAATAGTTAAAGTAGTTAATTGAAATAATGTAGAGATAAATTTAAACACGCACTTATTAAATATACTGGTCTGTAATTCCATTGGAGATTATGAAATAATTGTAATCATTAAAAATATATTATATATAACATGTAACTTAACATTAAAATATTATTGTATCCAATGTTATATAGTAATATAGTATGTTATTGTATTAGTTATTAAGGTATAATGTGTTAACCAAAAATTTTAATTATTATGACTATGTTTAAAAATCAGATGAAAAAAAAATATTATATATTGTTATGTAATGAAACTGTTATGTTAAAAAAAAAAAAAATGTTATGTTTTGTTATGTTGTTATAAAAAGAAATATTGTTATGTTTTGTGATGAAAAATTATGTATTGTAAAAGAAATTATGTAAAATGAAAATCATTATGTCATGAAAAGAAATTATGTAAAATTGTCTTTATGACAATTATTAACAATTTATGTACTATGTATTTATATCCATGTTTTATGTAAAATTCCTTTAAAGATTTTTGTAGTTCTACAAATTGTAGCCCTACAAAAACCTTTGAAAGGGCGAGGAGGTGTAACGGGCTGTGACTACGTACATATTATAATAGTAATAATATATAAAATATTATATTATATTATGCTGTATTAAGTATAATACGCTTATAATATAATATATTATATTCAATAACAGATATAAATGCTGCAGAGGGCACGCAACCCGATAATAGTAATAATATAAGCGTCCGGGCAGCCACATCGATAAGAGTACAGAACTAATTAATAGTACAGCGCAATAGGTATACGCGCGCATTATCCATGTTCTAGGAAAGACGAAAAAGCCGTAAATAACAAAAATAGATAACTTTGAAAACATATAATCCCAATTAACATTATTTCGTAGAGGACGCCGAAATGACGTCAGGTATACGCAGCTATGTACCATTTTATATACTAAAAATGCTATAGGAGGGATATAATAGGAAAACCGACGAAATACGTCGATGGACAAGTGTCCATCAGACGAACACCAGCCAAGACGACGAGCACTATAGCAGGACAGCCACAAGTCGATACGAAGTCACAACCCGTTTTACCATAATTTTACAAATTAATTAATTGGACTTAGAATATTTTCGTGTTAAATAAATACAAATAAACTATCATTTATACCATCAACTTGTCATTTTAATTCAAAATACCATCAATATTGAGTTGAAGTAGTTGGCACGTTACACTGATAATACAGTTTAAATAGGCCCTCTATATATTATATTACTCTATGCCATAGAACAATAAAGTATAAACTAATGAACAGCGTTTAGAGAAAGAAGTCTGGGGTATGCTTAGATAGTTAGATCATAATATTAAATATACTATATTGTCTATATTATAGTATACTAGTATATTACTATTTTATGATCTAAAGGGGTACCTGCGTTAAAGTCGTTATAGAGTGAGCATTGAAAGAAAAAAAACAGTAAAATGTATACAGTTTCTTAATATGCAGGCTCTAATATATAATATTATATTCTCTAATATATTAGATCCTGCATATTAAGAAACTGTACATACATTTTACTGTTTTTTTGTGCATGGGTTTGCTCAATTCACGATAAAATAATTTTCTAATAATATTGTATAATTTTTATTTTGAAACAAACCTTTTTTTTAGTCTTAGTTATTTAAATAGTTAATAGTGCCTTTTCTTACATGGTATGCATTATGTAACAAATATGAATAAAGTTCAATTTTGGATTTGTACCTACGTGGCCCGTGGGAAGTACATAGGAGGTTATCAAATATCTGTAGTGCCAAACAAAGCAATATAGGCTAAATATTACGAACTAATAATTACATCAAACGGTCAGGATATTGTATTAATTGTAGGTACATTTGTCATTTGCATGTCTATTAAAAATCATATACCTAGATAATAATTTCATAATTATGGTCACGTGCCATTAAGCCGTGAACGTATACCTGCAAAATATGTTGTTATTTTTTCTTTCTGAAAAGTATTGTTTTGTGGGACTTTGTTATATTATTATTTATTATGGATTCTATAATAAAAGCGTTTGCCCCCGGCCCAACAGAGTGCAAGCACTGAAAGCGAATGGCTCCACCCCCGCGAGCATGCCTATGAGCTGCGCATTTATGCACAAACGGAAATTAAAGCTGCGAATTCCAGTAGGAGGGGTTATGAAATGTATCTGATTTTAATTGAGAAACATATCGAATATTATGTTTCAAAATCAAAAATGTGATAATCGGGGATAAACGCATGAAATATTCGGGTGGGTGAGGTTTGAAAAAATGTGTATAATCTTTGTACCTAATGCCCATTGTTATACCTATATTAAATGATAGGTAGGTACATAATTGGTATTATTAATATTTTGTGGGGAGGTTAGCCCTTCGCGGCGAAACGGTCGCGGCGAATGGTCCTAGACCCACATTTTAATTTTACATTAGAATCATAACGAAAGAGAAAGTATTGATAACCCGGATAACCCTACACACAGTACACAGGCATCTGAGCCTAGTTCTTCACTGTTGTCTGAAACAAATGAAACTGCATCCTCTCTAAATACACCATCATCATCAAATGCTTTTACCATAATGCAAGCATCAACTTCTATTCTGAAAAAAAGACAAACGTCTGTTGTTGGTTATTTACCAAAAAAACTATCTGTAGATGCAAAAAAAAAGTTAGATCAAACGCTATTAAAACTTTTTGTTAACGATTTCCAACCTTTTAAGGTTGTTGAAGATTCAGGTTTCAAACAATTTGTAAAAATCCTGAATTCTAATATTATGAGTTGCCAAATCGTCATACAACATCCAAAGAACTCATTCCAGCTATGTATGAAAAATGTTTAGGGGAGATGAAAAGCTTGACATCAACTGTTGAAAGTGCTTGTTTGACGACAGATTGTTGGACATCTAGAAACAATGAAAGTTTTATGGCCATTACAATAAATTTTATGGACACTGAATTTGAACTAAAATCTATACTTCTAGAATGTTCTTCGTTCAACTTAAACCATACTGGACACAACCTTGCACAAGAAATTAAACGAATATTGGAATCATGGGAATTAACTAAAAAAATTACATTTGCAGTTTCTGATAACGCATACAACATAAAAAATGCCCTTAATAACTTAAGTTTAAAGAATATGGGCTGTTTTGCACATACAATGAATCTTATAGTCCAGTCTGCGCTCACTTTAGAAGAAGACCTGATAAACAAAACAAAAAATATTGTTTCTCATTTTTGAAAGAGTACAGTAGCCAACAATTCATTCAAAACTTACCAATTAAATAATGGTATAAAAAATCCAAAAAAATTAATTCAGGATGTCTCTACTAGATGGAATTCAACATATTATATGGTATGCAGATTTGCCGAGTTAGAAACCTCATTCATGGTACTTTGGGTTTACTTAATAATGCCCCTGAAAATCTTCGGCCAGAAGAATGGACTATTTTGAAAGATCTTATTAAAGTAGAAGCCCTTTGAAAAATCTACTAAATCTGTAAGTGGACAAAGATACATGACTGCGTCATTAGTAATAGTAATTATTCAAGGACTCTTTAAAGTTTATAATAGTTTAAGAAAAACTAACCTGGCACCAAGAGTTTTACATGTGGTTGATAAACTTATAGCTAATATGAATGAAAGAGACGGATTTAAAAATTTAGAAAAAAGTAAAACTCTTTCAAGATGCACATTTCTTGACCCACGATTTAAACACATTCCATTTAACCATAATGATACTCTATTGAATACTACAAAAAATGATTTAATAGAAAAAACGGCAAACATTATTCGTAGCAAATATACCGAAGAGTATGAATCAGTATAAGTTTGGCAGATGTTAACATACCTCCCAATAGCGAACAACCGTCTATATGGGATGACATTGACAGTTGTGTAGACAAGTCAACACCTATTGGAACTGCAACATCAAGAGCTATTGTGGAACTGCAACGTTACATGGAAGATTCGATAATTTCTAGACATCAAGATCAATTAAAATGGTGGAAAGACCACAGTTATAACTACCCAAATTTAAGTATTTTGGCCAAAAATACATTGTGCCATCTCGGAACATCCGTACCTTGCGAGAGTTTTTTCTAGTGCCGGATTAGTTCTCAGTGATCGACGCTGTAGGCTAAAAAGTGAGAAATTGAACATGCTACTATTTCTTCACTACAATTCAAGTTAATTTATAATGTTTATATTTATATGTGTATATACTTTTTCATTAAAATGTTGTTTTTATCATTTTATATTGAATCAAATATAAAATATTGCTTTGATAGGCAAGGTGCCAAGGTGATTGTTTATTTGAATTATTATTATTAAATAAGAATTTAATTTTTTATTTATGAATTATGCATTATTATATAGGTAATATTATAACAATGAAAACATTTAATGTTTATATTACAAGTTTTATTATTACTTATGAGTTATAAAAATTACTTTAAATTAAATGTTGTTTCTAGTATGTAAAGTTTAGACAAACTCATTTTAACTATTATTTATATAATTTATGAATAGTTTATTATTAAATACATTATATATCAGCAAAGGCAATTGTTTGAATTAAAATTATTATTATTATTGTGTTTATGTTGAGTGTTGTATATATCCTTTCATAATACCTACATCTCATCATTGAGTATTGACAGAAATATTATTGGTAAGCTACAGTAAAGAAATCGTCACAAGAAGGATTAGTAACGGTAAGTAATAATTTATCAAACTTTTTACTTTTTACCATTTACCATTTAATTTACTTAACAAACAAGATTTAAAATCATATAAGATCAACAACAAACACATACACAGTAACACTAAACATAAACAACATTACCATTATAACATTTTTTACTTGAGTCTTGAGTTTGAGTACTTCATAACACTACCTAACTAAAATCTAAATGCATATTGCACGTGCATAATGCATATGTATATTGTGTACTATATTAATTATTATTATTATTTTGTGCGAATGCAAAATACAGCAAATCATTATTCTATCATACATTAAAGTTTAATCTACAATCGTGGTTGGTTTGGTATAATATGGATGGATCATCGGCATTTGGCACTGAATACTGATAAGTGATAACAAAGGAAAATATAATCTGTAGAAACTAGAAATAGAATGAAATAACAGAATATAATATTATTATTACTATTAATTTATAACAGTTACAAACATTCATAACAAGTTGACATCCATTACAATTTATTATCTAAGACCGTATAATGAAAAATACATCATAACAAAAAATAACAATAACTGTTACTTTTTCTTCCAAGTAACAGGCTGTTATTGTTAGTTCAGTTGTAACTATTATAAATCACTGTTACTGTTATTTTATTCCATTACTAGTGTACATGGGGACGGAGCTCCCCTACTTTTTTTTTACTTGGACGGGGGGGACGGTACAAACTAATACTCAAATAATTTTATTAAAATGTGGGTTTCAATTGATGTAAATTTTATAAGGAGTTCTACTATTTTTCATATCAAATATTAAAAATATTTAAATATTATACAGGTATATTATTCTAATTTTTTTTCTACTGTAATAATGTGAGATGTAGTCGATGTAGATACTTCTATCATAATGTATTATACCTATTTGGAATTCAAAATGTGTTGCTGAAAAGTGGTATTCAAAATGTATGTATGGTAGGAACGTGCGGGGGGGGGGCAAAGCCCCGACGGGTCTGAGTTGAATAATTGCGCCCTTGGAACGCAGTTTTTAAATCGTTCGTTTGAGCTCCTCTCCTTCATTTTTTCCAATTCGAGCACTGAATTTATGTTAATTGCAACTTCGATAGGAACCGCAATTCATAAAGAAAATAAACAGCGAAATACAACAACAGTACAACAATTCATCGTCCAATAAATCAACTTTTAATATTGACTTATGCACAGCTTTAAATGCGAGAAATCGATAATATTAATTTTCGTTAATTTCTTGAAAAATACATAAGCAGTTTTATACCTAATTCAAGCACTCTAAGGTAGATTATTTTCCTGACTTTTACGAGAACAACTTGATTAATATCAGAAAAATATTTCAAGTGGACCAATCTGGGTTTCTATGGTCGAGACAACCGATGTAGAAGGTACGCAGGGCATATAATAGTTGGTAAATTGAATTAAGATTGTGCTTCAAAGCCATATTTATTAAATACTGAAGTTCTTGAAAAATGTAAACATTCAACAGTTGCTCGTTTTTTCAACGATTCACGATTCTTTGGGTATTCTCTCGCCAAATGGTACTTTGTATGAAAGAGTACTCTTATTTATATCAGACGCAGCACCCTATATGGTGAAAGCTGGAACTGCTTTACATGTATTTTATGCTAAATTAATTCATGTGACCTGTCTTGCACTCGCTTTCCATCATGTCGCAGAAACAATTAGATCAGAACTTTCCGAAGTTGATTTTAATTTAATCAACTATAAAAAAAAAAATGTTCCTTATAGCACCTAGTTGAGCCAATGCATTTAAAGAAAATTACCCACCTTTTCCCATAGAGCCCAGTAACTCCCTGGGGTACTAGGTTACAAGCGGCTGCATATTATTGCCACAATTTTAGTGTCATTGAAAATGTGATTTCCAAACTTGAAATAGATGCTGTTTCAGTAGAAAATGTAAAAAATTTAATTAAAAGTACCCCATTGAAAAATAATTTTGGGTACATATTCTCCAATACTACATTCCTTGCCAATCTATTATGCAACTTGAAGCTCAAAACTTGTCTCTGGCTGATAGCCTGGATATTGTACTATTGTCTCCAACACCGTCAATCGAAAGAAGCCCCCGGGGAAGTCAAAATAAAAATTAAGAAAAAAGTTGAGCAAGTACCTACTTAGTAAAACCACAGGTTTAAAGACACTTCAAGCTATTGCAAACATTCACAACAGCTGCGATAGAAAAGTCCTATACCTAGTGCTGTAAAATATATTTTTTTTTTCATATAAATAATATAATATACACTATACAGGAACATGTTAATATTTATTGGTTAATATTACATTAAATATTATGTACCTATATGTTATTTAAATTATTAGGAATTTAACACATATTATTTTCTGTAAAATGTCATTGTTATATTATATCAGACAATAAATACATATTATACTTGTTTTATTTTTCGTAAATTATTTCGAATGTTGTGTGATTGGGGTTTTGGAAAATACTATTTTTTCTTTTCACTTATAGCGTTGGGTCTATAATCCACCGCAGGATAGCAATATTTATAGACTACAGGTACATGTTTATATGTATTGTATTAGTTTATATAATATTATGTATCTATTATATTATGTTATTTTTTTAGGAATTATAATTGCTCATTTCTCAAAATGTTCATTGTTATACATCATACAATAAATACATACATATGATATTTGTTTGTATGTATATTGTACATAGTTTGTATTTTTCGTAAATTATTTCATGTTGTGTGATAGGGTTTTCACTATTATAGCCGCTCCACGTCGGGTCTGCAGTCCACAGCAGGTGAATTGACTACCTGATTGTTTGCTGTAGCACATTGTCACTAACTAGGTGACAAGTTATTCATACTCTGATACTCTGATATAATATTAGTATGAATCAACTTTTTAATTTTTTAAGGAAATATTACTTTGGATTTGTTGTCTCCTAAAAAACTAAGAAACCGATATTTATGTGAAAATCACTTTCAAAATAAGTGTTTTACCAACCCTAATGACAAATCTCGTCTGAACTATGGTGCTTTACCAAAAAAGTATACAATGGCCAACGGTAAAGGAATTTTTTAAAAATTGTTTTTATTATTTATAAACAGTAGAAATCGTTATATTGAGGTTCAAATTAGGTACACATGAAGTTTAGTTCCCACGAGATTTTTCGATTTCCCCCCCCCCCAAATGTGTGTTTTAAAGCACTGAATACAAAAGTCTAATTCAAAAATTCTCGTAAATTATTATTTTGGAAGTTATATTTTTCCAAAGTGTACGATTTTACGTAGTTACCTATGCATGCACTTTGCCGAGGAGCGTAGTGACGAGTGCCGATACACGCGTAGTCACTGCCCAAGCAAAATAACATTTTTATTTAAATTTTCACATATCCATAATTGTTTTGTCCCTGTTACCTACATGAAATGGTTTTGCATAACAAGTCGGGGGATATTTTCGATTTGCGGAGTGGAGTGAAGACACACTCGTATAGTCACTGCGAGAGATATTAAGCTGTGATATTGTGTAAATTTTGATTTAATTTACGAGTTTTTAAGTTTTTAATTTTTAGTTTTTAAACAGCAAATACGATAATTAAAATCTATTTGCATATATCCATCTATCATAAAAACATACAATTTTAAAAATAATCAGAAAGTTTTTTCGATGTTTTTATCGAGGATATCACGTATTTTTAAAAATGTACTGTTTTATAGTTTTTATGGTATAACTTTTGAAGTAAAAAATGCGAGAATTTTTGAATCAGATTTTTGTATTCAGTGCTTTAAAACATTCATTATGGGAAAAAAATAATCGAAAAAATCGCTTGTTAACTAAACTGCATTTGTTCCTCAAATTATTTTGATATTTATTTATTTATTTATTTATTATTCGTTATACGGGCTTAGCCCTTTTTGACATTACAATAAATCATTAAATATAATTATCTGATGACAATAAAAACGTAAACATTAAACAAAAACAAAAAAAAAAAAAAAAAAAAAAAACTTTAGCTTAAATTTGTATATCTATTAAAAATTTAGCAATTTGTCGAATGATGGTTCTACATTGGCAGACGACATTAGGCGTCTTAAAGGTGCATTAGTCATATAGTTAGTGGTGGCGTGTGGGACATAGAAGAGGGCCTTTGAGCGGGATGGACGTAATGGGACTTTAATGGAGATTTGCGAGAGAAGGACTGGAGAATCTATAGTATTGTTTAAAAGACCCGCTAGGAATTTAAGACCTGCGACACGGCGACGTTCGGCTAAGGATGCCATACCTAGATGATTAGCAACCGGTGTATAGTTATGAGGTGCACAAGGTATCTTAAGGATATGACTAGCATAGCGTAGGAACCGGCGCTGAACACGCTCAATTTGCCTTGCGTTGTCTGCAGTATGAGGGTCCCATATTACGGTTCCATATTCTAAAATGGGGCGCACAAGTGCACAGAAAAGTGTTTTTAATGACGATTCAAGCCGAAAATCCTTTATTAATCGGATTACAAGACCAAGGGTTTTCAACGCTTTACAGCACACGTACTCGATGTGAGCAGTTGGGTCAAGATTGCAGCTTAGCTTGAAACCAAGATCCATGACATAGTCCGTAGTACGAGTAATAGCTATATTATTGATGAAGTATGGGTATATTATAGGAGAACGGGATCTAGTGAAGGTCATAATTTTACATTTATCGAGATTAAGTGCTAAACCTAAAGTGTTGAACCAATTTGAGAATCGATCTAGGTCGGATTGAAGTTTTGTACGATCATCTGGCGTGGTTACACGCAGATATAATTTTATGTCATCAGCAAAACACAGAAATTGACAGTGATGAAGCACACGGAGCATATTAATTAATTTATAACTTTTAAGTTAAAAATATTTGTATTATTACATGCCTAAAATATATTTTATAAAAAACATATAGTATTTTGAATAATTTCATAACGATTAATGACAAAATTACTTGATGTTAGTGCATTAAAATAGTCTTAATTTTTAATTCCCAATGAATGATTCTACGACATTTAAAAGAATTATTATTCTATATTTTGTATTAATAAATATTATACAATATTATATCACTTTTTTTTTTTTTAATTAAGACGATGTTGATAATAATAATGTGATTATCAAAACTACCAAATCAACTTCAAATTATACACCACGAAATAACTTTACTAGGACAGGTAATTGTTTGATTACATTTTTATAATTAGTTTGGTTTTGCTATCTTTTAAAACTTAATAGAAAAAATTATTAAAAATGTTGATATTGTTTAAACTGACGCACAGTGGTCAAAACGCTATTTTAGCGGCTCAAAAGTCCCATTTCAAAATAAAAATATCAAAACTCTATTAGCATAAGTTCCTTAAGTCAAATATAAAATTTCTTAATCATACGTTTATTTTTAACTTGTTTATACCTATATCAACGTGGATATTGTAAGTCTTATGGCGTTTTTCCCGTTATTTTTAATGAAATTATATATATTTTTTATGAGGGAAATACAATATCTTTCCGAATTTTTTTTTATTATTATTCTATTGTATTGTATTTATTTTTATTCTAATTTCGAAACATTTATAGAAATATCAATTATTATTATTAAAAATTTATAAAATGTTCAATGTTTATAACTAAGGATTGAAAAGATTCTAGTGTATACAGTATAATTCATACTGTAACCAAAAAAATTAAAAAAATGTATAAACAAAGTTTATTTTTACAGACATTTAAAATTCAAATTTGAACGAAATTACATAATATTAAACCCAAGAATAAAAATTTTAATTATTTTGTCGTAATTTAAAAACATTTTTCGTAAATATATGAAACTTTTAGATTACATTAGGTTGGCCCTTTTTTCACTTTTATATTTTTGTTGGATTATATTTTCCTTCACCACCTTAAGACATGCCTTGACTAAATGTCCATAAGTTCAATATAAGTGTAGTATAATTTTTTTTCCAGAAAATCCGAACGCCGACGACATTTTATCACCTGTGCAACTAACACTATTAACACCTGAACAAACGTACTCAAGAACTCAAAAAACGTCCCCTGATTTAGAACATTTGCAATTAAATAGCCCTACATTTTCTATTTCTCCAAAAACAAAATCACATATTTCTGAGCTAGTTCAATTTCCCAGTCCACAAATAAAAAAAAAAGAACACAAATTGGAAAAGGTTTTAGAATTATGCAAAAAGCAAAAGAAATTGTTAGGACAAAAAAGAGCTAAAATATGTTTGTTAAAAAAACAACTGAATAAATGTAAAACTTCTAAAAATAATATAAATCCTAAATATTTTCTTAACACAGCTTCATTTCGTTCTAAAAATTCTAAAGCCTTAGTGTCAATGCAGCTATTACATAATAAAAAAAGACGCTGGTCACAACGAGAAAAAAATATTGCTGTATCTATTTACGACAAGTCTCCAACAACATACAAATATTTAAGGAAAAATAATGTTGTTTTACCGGGAGTTAGTACTATTCAAAGTTGGTTAAATTCTATAAAATACATGGCTGGATATAGGTAATGCAGAATACAATGCTCAGTTAAAAATAATGGCAAAAACTATGTCAGTTCAAGAAAAAAAAGGCGTTATTTTAATTGATGAAATGTCTATAAAAAGTTGTTTGGAATATAATGAATCCCTTGACATGATTGAAGGATATGAAGATTTTGGAAATTTACGCCGTTCAGGAAAGTCGGCTAAACTTGTTTTAGTGGTAATGATTCGAGGGTTATGTAATAACTGGAAATTACCATTATCATACTATTTTAGTTCAACAGGCGTTAAAGGAAACCAATTAGCAGAAATTATGAAACAAACTGTCGAAACTATAGTAAAACTTGGATTTCACCTGTTTGTATAACTTGTGATCAAGGTACAGCAAATCGTAAAATGTACACTTTACTTGGTGGTAGTTCAGAAAATCCATTTACGGTAATAGGAGGAAGACAATTATTTTTGATTTACAATGTCCCACACTTAGTTAAAAGTGTTAGAAATAATTTGTTGACTGGGAACATTGTAATAAATAAGAATGGTCAAAAAAAATAATTGATTTCGAAGACTTCAGAAATACCTACAAAATAGACAAGACTAGTAAAACAGCAAGAGCTTTATGCAAAATTTTTGAAATATGATTTGGAGTATGAACGTAATAATGAGGGTGGTAGTTTAGAAGAATGTGCCGTTATTTATTATGTAGGATATTTAGCAATGAAGTGTTTGAAAAAATGTGATTGTGAAAAGTGTCACACAACATTATTACACCCTGACAAAATGTTGAATGACAAGAATCAACTTTTGTTAGTTCATAAAACATACAATGTAAACTTTGATATTGATAAAGGATTAAAAGTACCATCAAAACAGTTAGAATTATTCACTAAAATATGTCTAGATACATTTAAGACCAAATTTCCTATTGTTAAAAGTCACAGTAATCTATTGAGCAAATTAATTGATTTTGCAACCACAAATATAACACGCCGCTCCAATATCAACATCCAAGATGAATGTTCAACACATTATAAATATATAATGAAATTGTTATTTGTAGTAAGAATTCACAAAGAATGTAAATGGACAAGAAATAACAATAGAACCTTCATATATAATGGTACAAATAAGCCAAATGCTAAACTCAGGAATATTCAGAACTTATAAATTATTAACATAAATGTAACAGGTTATTTTATTTCTTAAATATTAAACCTTTTAAATTGCAAATTAGGTTTATAGTAAATTTATATTATATTTTACATTTAGGTATTGACATTTGTTAAAAAAATAATTTAATTCATTAAATTTTCATTTAAACTCTACTTCAGTTTCAAAATTATTTTGAATTTACATATCATATTTTTATACATATAGATATATTTTATTAATTACTTTATTCGATTTTATTAATACATTTTACACAAATTTAATTTCAAGTAGGTACATACTTACTATAATATGTATACCTAAATTATTTAAGTTAAATTTACTTGGTTGTGACAATACCACCTTATTATCTGCATATATAATTTATAATTAATAATTAATACATCTTTATAATTTAATATTATATTTATTATCTTTATTTATCTCATTTTGTGTGTGTGCCATCACCGTTTTGGGCAGTTAATCTGCTTCGATTTTTTGATATAGTCAAAATTTAAAATTACCAATAGTTTTTAAAAGCGCAAGGAAAAACAAAAGAAAAATGAAGGAAAAACGTGAATTTTTACGCATAATCGGTTTTGACAAAATCGATTTTGGTTTTTGGTGTTAGGTACTCTAAAACAACGCACCAAAATAAAAATACAATATAAATCATTTTGAATATAAATACAAAAGCGAAAAAGGTCAAGATTATAAGATAAAATATATGTACTTGATTCAAAATTTTAGAACTTGTGATGATGTGGTCACCCATCCAAAAAAATAAATAATGAATTTAAGTGGGTTCGATCTAAACTAACCGAATATGAATACAAAATAGATGTACAAATAAAATTGTTATTTTAAAAACAACTAAAAATCGTAAGTTATGATCTTTTAAAACGGTCACCCATCCAAAAAAAAAATTCATTTGAAATTTGAATATAAATATATTCATAAATCGAATAAGAAGAAAATTATATTTAGGAAACACAGTTTTAATTTGCCAATTTTTAAAACCAGTCTAGAAGTGGTCACCCATCCAAAACAATAAATGAGTTTAAGTAGGTTCAATCTAAACTAACCAAATATGAATAAAAATATAAGTATAACTGTTTTCCACTAAACAGATTCTTGAAAATCGTAAAAATATTTTTGAAAGCGGGCACCCATCCACGAAAAAGTACACTGTATTATTACATAATGTTACTTACACTCAAAGTCTTATAATTTTAATAAGATAATCATTAAAATAAAATGTTTTAAATAATGTTGATTTTCAGTTTTTGAGACGGTCACCCATCCAAAAAAAATGTGTTTTTAATTAGTAGTTAAAATCAAATACGAACATTAATTTTGAAAAAATTGTATTGACAAAAAGCCGATTTTCTACAATGTCAGAAAAATGTTTAGATGGTCACCCATCCAAACAATATATTTATAAATAATAATAACAATATTATTATTATTGAGCCATCACTAAAAATTTAAGTTATTTGGGTTGTAAATGGCAACATGTCATCGTTCGATGTGGCAACGTCAAGTGATGAGCAGGTGCGTCGAGCGCGTCAAATAAATTATTATGTAAAAGTGTAAAACAATAATATTATAAAAGTAATTTTATTATTATTATTATTTTACTGCACCTATTAAAAAATAAAGTAATATTGTTAATTACTGGTAGCGCGCTCTATTGCCAGCGACATTGAACTAATCTAGCGTAGCATAAAATATCGAGCAGTTTCTCTATACTATCTATACTCTATAAAATTATAATTTTATCTTAAAATTTAATAGACAATGTGCTCGTAATATTTATTATACCTTTAATAGTCACTGTTGTATTTTATATAAAATGTGTATAGTTAAATTTACTTAAAAAACAATATTTATACATCAATGTCTAAAGAATATAAATATAATATATTAATACATTAATAGCAATACAATATAAATATGAACTATGAAGGTTTGTATTATTGTACATTTTGTTTTATTATTTATTCTAAACTAGTTTATTCTAAATTGCTTAATTATTGCATACTTATATAATAAGAGTATATTCAGAAAGAGTTTAACAAAACTTAGGTAGAAAATTTTAAATTAGGAATGAAAATAAAAATACAAGTAATCATTATAATACACCATTAATATTATTTGTTGACAACTTACTGCTGAACAGATATATTTTTTTCTTGCCGTGCTACGGATCCTTCGAGTAAATCGAGTGAATATCCAATGTTGTAAAGATTTGAATTTCAAACGCTCTTAAAAATTTAATTTGACTTTCTTATAGACATTTTTTTTTTTTGATAAAGGTAGATAATCTCATAAGAAATCTTGTATTACATTTTAAAACCTTAGATTTAAAAGAAAAATTTTCACGAATTCTTAACTCAAAATAATTTGTTAATTTTCATGATTTTTCCATATTTTGTCAATTTTTTAACTTTAAATGCTTATAAAAAAAACTGTGACTAAGGATTTTTAATATTTTTCAAATGCCATTGGAACAATATAGTAGGAGCCTTGTATTAAATTTTCAAGCTTTTTTAACCAACAAATAAAATTTAATTGATATTTTTAGAAAAAAAACTAAAAAAAAAGAAAAATGAAAATGTACTAAACAGTAAAAAATAAATCAAAACATTTTGAAAATTTTATCGTAAATAGAAAATGCTAATATAAACATTCAGTCAAAATTTCATGTACCTACGGTCATTTTTTTAAGAGTTGCACCAAAAACCAAAACAGATTTTAGTGTAAAAATTCCCGTTTTTCCTTAATTTTTATTTTGTTTTTCACGCCGCTTTTGAAAACCACTGGGAAATTTGAAAGGTCACTGTTGAAGAAAATCCAAGCACTTTTACTGTCCTAAAACGTGATGACGGACATAAAAAAAAAATAAAAAATGAAAAAAAAACACATTATGGTAAAATCAATACATTCATCGTTTCACTCAGAATCTAAAAATAATTTGAGATTTCAATATACTTGGTTAGAAAGATTTCCGTGGCAAGTATATTCGAAAAAAGAAAAAGGAGCTTACTGCCGATAATGTGTAGTTTTTGCAAAATATGGAGGAGTTGGAAACCAATCTTTAGGACAACTTTTACTAACTGTATTTCGAAATTATAAAAAAGCTCTTAAAGAAATAATCGCTTTTAATAATTTATAAAATATTTATAGTTTAATATTATGGCTTTCAGTTTAGTGCACTTTTACTTATTTGTGTTTAGATTTTTCTATTATGATAATATGTATAACATATAACCATTATAGGCATTTCAAGTCTGCTTATCACGAAATGAGTGTTTAAGAGTCTCAATAATTTCTAAATATTATATTTGATCTTAAACAGCCATCAATAATAGAATGCACTGACACTGTCATTGTATTCAATTTTCAATAATGTCATTATTATAGAATATATATAAATTCAAGAGAAGGTAAATTTCTTGCCATTTTTGTTGTGGTAAAAATAACAAATATACAAATCCTAAAATTCAAAACCAAATTATTATTAATAAAATTATTCTCAAACAGATTGTTGATAAAGTAAATTCTTCAAAATGCTTCTTAGCTGACGAAACGACTGATAACGACTGTAGCTACGAAGCACGGCTTTAGATAGAATGGTTGCACATCGGGCTATACTAGGCAATGTTAGACCACGGTCGTTGAGAGTCCTTATCTAACATACGAAAAAGTGAAGAACTACTAACGCTCTCAGCGGTTGTTAATTGGAACTACAATATTATACTATTCCTATTTCCCGCCATAATATTAAATTATTGAATGTTCAATAATAAATATAATTGAGTAAATAACTTAATTATAATCATGAATCACGATTCACTGTTCTCGTGCTCTATCTATATAATAATTATATGATTATGCTGTGTCATAATATATACTCTAATATTATTATTTAAACGAGATTTCTTTTAAGGCTCACCCCGATACCTAGCAATTTATAAAGCAATGGCCTGTATGGTCAATTAAGAAACTTCTGCTAACACACAGCCTTACTACCAACTTTAGGGTATGCCTACAGGGAACATTAATGTATATAAGACCGGAAACACTTTATAATTAGGATGAACCCAGTTCAGTTATTTAAAACAGTTATATTGATTGTAAATTATAATTAAATATGGTTGTAGGTTTAACATTAACTGCAAACACTATATACATTTATTCAGTACCAATGACCAG